AAAATCTAAAATATTTGCTTGTTTGGTTAAATAAAAAAAATCACAAAAATTTGCTCAATAAATCTCCCAATATGATTTTCGCTGCTGTGGCAATATTGAGGGATGTTATAAATATGCACCTTTTCACAGCGCTCTCACGAGAAAAAGAGTTTCGTATCATGTCATCCTTGAATTCGTTTCATACCGAATTATTGAAATTCTTGAGACTACCAAACCATTTAACTGGCATTGGATATCAACATACGATAACATAGCCGACGAGGAGGTGGAAGAATATGCCTGAGGTCAGCATTGAAACTCGTTGGTTTAATGGCCCACCGCTTTTGAAGCTTGAAAAAAAAGGGCGGTAGAGACCTTCCCATCGGGAGCCGCAACTACAGTAGAGCTTCGTGCACAGTACGTTGGGACACATCATAAAAGACGGTTGAATGAATTTATTGCATTGAACCCAAATCGCTACTCGTCTTGGCGTCGACTTTTACCATAACTGCAACAGCCGTATACTGTGCCAAAATTTGGTTAAACCACGTCAGACCACATCCTGAAGGCATTGATGGTGTAAGCAGCTATCGTACACCGCTAACTGAAGACTTCAAGTTGGCCGAAATAATGCTGTGTACGTTGAACGATCCAGCTCACTTTACAAGTTATCCCCATATCTGGATGGATACAACATTATGCGTCTTGGCTCGCGCTTAACTTCAAAAGATAGAAACGATTTGGTAATCCTTTCCAAGAGTCATCAAATAACGCGCGATTGTGGCTGACTTCCAGACGAAATACCACCATCGGAATTTGGAGACAGTAGTGAACGATGTACGACAATGACACTGGGTGCCGCGGCTAAAAGTAGTCGTTAATGAAGTTCAAAAGCAATGTCAATGCTGTAAACTGGACAAGGTGCAACCAAAACCCCCGAGAATGGGACAACTACCCTCGGCTAGAGTTTGTTATTTTATGGCTTTATAACAAATATATTCGACAATTTTTATTGAGCTTGAGGCCGTTTTTAATGACAAACTTATTGTGGAAAAGCAACAAAATTTTTTAAAAAATATTAATGACTAGAAATATATACTAAAAATTAAAAATAATTCTATAACCGTTCATTACCGTCCTTATTAATTTTTATTATAAGACCCCGATGTACTACATGATTAAAGGGATGAAATATAGCAGAATGCCCATCTGTTTTAAAATGCGCACAAATTAGCCATAAATTGTCTAATGCATTAATATTAACTCAATATATTCATATCATATCAGGGGGATAAGAGCAAAATCCGTTGCAAACTCGCTTGCATTGCCACGTTAGTTACCGATATGGCTTATGAATTGGATTTTGCCATTTTCCTTCCTCGGAGAGCGAATATACAAAATTTTCGGGCTAATTATGGTGCATCTAACACTGAAGATTTTTATCGAAAGGCAATATTTATACCGCTATTAGATAATATTTTGTTCGACCTCCGAGATAGATTGCCGAATGAGACATACAACATTTTTGATTTGAACTTATTACTTCCACCTAAAACTGGGGAATACAATACGCTATGTGAAAAAAATAATGCTTTCGAACGCGTAAAACCGCTGGGAAAACGATACGAATTTTTCTTACAAAAAGAAGGAAAGAGATTATAAAGTGTGGTCAGACCAATAAGGTAAGCAAAAAAATTCATTCCCAAAATCAGCAGCAGAAGTTCTTGGTAAATGCGACGAATATGCTTTTCCATTGATTAACAGACTTCTCCGAATTCTGGCCACACTTCCAGCTGGTAACGTTATGCTTGACAAAAAACAAGCGGACTTGCCTTTTGATCGTCGTGGTGAGCAAGTGCGCGGACAAGAAAAAGAAATTGTTTGTTGAATTTACGAGCCAACCTCACACATATGCAATGCTTGACGTATTTGTTTGATTGTCTCCGTGGCGCTTAAGGTTCTGTTTTTGTTTACAAATGCAACCCTGCCTAACGTTTGACACTTTTCATGAACTTGCAGGGAGAAAAAACTTCGGACTAAAACCTGTAACTTTCGATACTGGGTAAATCGGTATTCGATACTAAGGTGACGATACTATTGATACCCATATGGGTATTTTCTTTCGATACCGCTTAATGTATCATAATATCGGAGCTCCAGAGTTTAATAATCTTGAAGACGTAACCACACTTGGGCTTCAAGCACTGCTGAAATTCTCAAAAAGCGTTGACATCTTAAATGATGTATACTTTGAATATATTTAACTGAACCTCTATCTCCATCTGGCACCACCAGGGACCTATTGGTCTATGTGGGCGGACAGCTAGGCAGAATAACCCAACCTAACCATTATACCATAAATATCAATATCAGCTTCATACAAGCCTTATTATCCCTAGAATTCTATTTAAGTATATTTCCTCATTAGTGACTCTATGTTATCCTTTGCGCGATATTTTATTTCTTATGCCCATTTAATACTAGCATTCTATACTTGTATGGCATCGTAATGTATTCAAACCGTATAAACACAGTACATATGCAGCGTAACGAAATTGATGGTTTTATTTCTGTTTTTCTGCTTTTACGCCGAAAAGTAAAGTATGGAATCACATTACCAAGATTGACGAAAGCTCTGTTAAGTGCAACGTTTGTTTGAAAAATCTGAAATTTTCGTGCATAGAACAAATTTAAAGAAGGATTTACTGATTTTCTGATAAAACCGAGCCATTTCTCATATTATGTTTATTACGTACTGCAGTTTTTAAAGATTTCATATTAATATTCATTAACTGCATCATTCATATTATGTCAAAAAATTTTTGTATCAAAAGGATATAATATCGATATTTTATTTCCGATACCAATACTAAAATTTATATTGATACTTAGCTTCTGATACATCATTTGATACAGGTATCGATAGTTTTATGATATCGCAACATCCCTACTTGTAGGTCATATAGCTCGAACTTTGATTGGTCACTCCCCGGTGAATCAAGTTAGATGCCCGTAATTTAACGTTATTTGATAAGTTGATCCCAATTTAAAAAAAATTAAGTAATGCAGTTTATAGTAATTGCCGAGCATGCTTTCTAAAAATTTTTAATAACAAGTAGGGATGTGCCGGATATAGATTTTGCCGGATAACCGGATTCCGGATATCCTGTAAAAAATAACAGCCGGATTCGGATATCCGATCGGATATCCGGTAGACTGCTGCCCTTAATAAATTTCACAATATTGCTTTTTTGCCGGCTCGAGTTCACCTCGACCTCCGCACCGTTTCTGATGCTACAGAATTTACCACTTCGAAAACACAATTACGCACACATCTGTGCGATGCTATCGCAGTGAAAAATGGCATCTTATAAACAAACAAAAAAACAATCTTCATCAAATTCTTTGCTTTTGAACAATCAAGTTTTGTTTTCTTACGTTAATTTTTGTTTAAATTATACAGAACCCGCCTATTAACCTTTTTCGTTTCCGAACGCGTAGGTTTGCAATTTCCAATAAATAGTTGCGGCATTGTTGTAATTTTTTCGGAACAGATTCGCACCGTCAGAATCGCACATGTGTGTTGATGCCTTATATGGACCTTACATGGTCACATTGTTTGGTCAAACTGTCTTCTGTGTAATTAGATGGTTTAACTTACACGCTTCAAAAAACCCATCAAATTTCAGTTTCTCGTTTTGAATGAAGTTGAAGAGAAGCTTAAGAAAGCTTTGTATTCATTTGTTAATACTAATACTAAGTCGTATACTTTTTCCTTGTTCAATTATGTGTTTTTATTTAAATTATTGTGCACAGAGCTGTCTGTGTAATTAGATGGTCACACACGTCAAAAAACCCATAAAATTTCAGTTTTTGTTGAAGTTGTATCACCACAAAAAAGGGTTTGGAGATTTTTGAAATAATTTATTAGTTCTAAAATGAAGTCGAATTATTTTCTCTTCTTGCTCATTTCTTCTTTTTATTTAAATTATCGGGCACTTGTTCTTTCACTTTGTTTATCAGTTTGATCAAACAGCACTTTTTACACGGTCCACAGCACATGTCAAACGACTATCAAATTTGATGAAAGTCAAAACTACTAAGGGTATTCATCAAAGCTTATAAATGCAATGTAAACCGTATAAAACTATAATTGTGTAAACTTTATAAATGAACTGTCAAAATTTTTATGGAAACTCGTTTACACATTTCTGATAAACTTATCCTGCGATTTCACTGAATAAACCTGATAAACTGAAGCCAATGCAACTCTGTCGCAAAAGGTATGAAATTGAGATTCACTTATCAAAAGTATTTATAGAACTATTAATAAAAAAATTTACTTGATTATAGGACTAAACATTCAACAACGACAATGCTTCACTATT